CCTTTAAACAAACTCAACCTATTAACTATGAAAATATTTCAAATGCAACCTACTGTGGTTTACATTCTGACTGAAGTGTGAGCCTGTAAACTTGTCTTCAACTTAACTTTTGTTCCACATAAATTTAAGAAAAAAGAGCCGTTTCTGAAAATGTAGAGATCTAAACTGCACGAAAGTAAACAGGTGTTTTTTTACCAGAGATATCCTGACACAACTTAGAAATTCTTATCTATGATCTTTGGCTGTTTAACTCGAATTTCTGATCTTCACCAAAAAAACTAAACAGAGATGAAAACAGCAAAACACCTGGCTTTGAACTCAAGAGTCATTTTAGCCTAAAAACAGAAGGAGTAAAGGAAGTCTATTATTAAACCCAAAATAACACAGATGCAGATGTATTCATACAAAGACAAACATAATCATCTAAGATACTAAATGCAATTAGACAATAAAACCAAATGAAATTATTTTGTTTTGTAGTACACAAAGCCAGTCAATTGGTCATCACATCTACCATATAAATCACAGCTGTACAAAATAGCTGCGTATTAGAAGGTAATTAATATCACCCCCCTTCCCCCACAGAATACAGCACAAGCTAGTACAGGGCAAGTCAATGTTGGGCCTAAAACGGTATCAGTGAGCAGACAGGTCAGAACATGGAGCTATTAATAGATCTAGAACTGGAGTAAATGAATCTACACTGAGTCTTTTCACAAACCTTTACAAACAACTACACTAATATAAAAGCTTGTAGAGTAAACAATAATAAAGGCATAAATAATGCGAATGATGACTGTGTGTCTCCCTAGACTTCCTCAGTTTAATTTAATAGACAGTCCATCTTCTTTCTTCCCAACAGGCTTGTTTTTGCAGTTAGAACCTATAGTAATGATCCATTACAATATAAATAAAGTGTGTAAGGCATGCAGAAAAATTTCATATGTACACATACTAGATAATAAAAACTATAAATGGGATAAAGTTTTTGCCAAACAGCAGAAAAGGTTTTGAAGTTACATTTCAGCGAAGGTCAGTGATGTTTGCATATTCAAATCATTACCAGTGAACACAAATTTAAGTTATCCGCACTCACGGCATTAAGATAATGCTGATCAGATTTAAAGAACATGGATAACAATTAAAGGCAAGTCTTCATTCTAATTACATAAACCTTTACTGACAAAGTTCCTATATAATTTACCCTTTGCACTTCCTCTCTCCATGATGCTGGCTTTTGCAATGTGACTTTTGCAGTAGTATTAGAGTTGTGCAAGAGAAGGGGAGAAATAAACAAGCTTTGCTAATAGGCTGATTGACTGTGACTTTGTCCTTTTTCTATGGTCATGTGTTGTACACACTGCTGTTTGGTCACGTATATCTAAAGGAGATTTCAGTTCCATTTTGAAATGTGCTTTAGATAGGAGCAAAATGGTTTCATGTCATCATAGTTTTTAAATTTCTAAAATGTGAGAATAGAATTACTATTTTCATTATAATTATATACACTTTAAAAAGAATGTCGAGCTATGATCAGAACTCTTATATATAAATAGTGTTTGAAAGGCAAATACAATTCAACAAAATACCTGTTAAAGCCTTAGAAGCATTAAAAAGAAAACTTTTCAAGGAGAAGGAAGTAAACTAAGAAGGGGAATTTTTACTTTTTTACAGGTCAGTACTTTTAGAAACCCACAGATGTGAACATACAAACGTATACCTAAACTGAACTTACTTACATATTCAAAACGGTCTTTGCAGAGCTGAACCATGAGATGGAGAAAGACCAAGGCTGAGAACCACAAACACCACATGACCACTTCTTCCACGGTTTGCACATTCAACACTCCAAATATGAAAATGAACTTGTAGAAGATGAAGTTCCAGAATTTATCCTTAAGATGCTGATGCATAAAAAAAAGGGATAAAAAGGCAAATTAGGAACTGATCCGATTCCAAATGTTCATTGTAAGCCATTAGACTATACTGAGCGCAGAAAGAGATTCAAATGTATGATAAACAACTGTAGCGGAAACCAATAAGGAACAGCATTGACTGAAATACAGAGGAATCTGCTTATAATGTTCACGGATATAGTAATCCACCGCTTATAGTGTTCAAAAGGCTGTGGACAGAATCATTTCTATACAAATACTGTTTAAATAATTCATTTATAGTAATCAAGAAATCAGCTTATAGTGTTCATTTTTGGCCATTTTATGAATGTAAACATAAGCAAAAATAATAACTGATCGAAAGTGATGACAGCACCCCGGTGTCAGAGCCCATGACAGATGACATTATCACGGAGGTACATAAAGAATGCAGTTTGCATTTTAAAGACTGGTCTCCTGCATGTTGGTTTCAAAACTTTGACCTTTTACATCATTTTGCAAAAGAAGTGAACTCGGTGTTGGACAACACTCTTATCCAGGGAACCATGGATAAATATGTGAAGTGATTTCTTAATGCGTCGCAGCACATCCGCAACACAGAACAGACGTAGGCTAGCTTTAATTTGCTGTAGCCTATGCAGTTATCTTCTATGTTGTTGTTCTATGAAAAAGTTTGTTTCAAACTTTATTTAAAAAAAATGCACAGACGGCACCAGACAGTATACTGTAATTATAAAGTTTCTTGGTACTGTAATAAAATTCAGTAAATGCGGAAGCTATCCGTTTTATTTAATTTTTCTGATCGAAAAACCACGAAAATGGCATTTAGATGATATTCAGCATAAAAAATAAATGAAATACTGTGAATATAGTGTTCAAATTGGCTCTGGACCAACGTGATCACTATAAGCGGATTCCACTGTACTTAGTTGTTTGGAGATTAGCTTAAAAATGCCCGTAACGGGAGAATCTATGGGTAAAACTCAATGTTCCGTGTTATCAACACATTTTAAAATGTTTTATGAATAATGCATATATAAAAAATGCAGATTTACCTGCTTCTCGCTGACTCTGAGGGGGCCAAAAACCACATACTGGATCATTTTTGCAATCAACATCAAAGAGCAGCAGAATGTGTTCACCAACACCTGCCATGATACCAAAAATAAGGTGACCATTAGTTTTTCTTTTTGCAATAAAACAGATATGATAACATTATGCAAACCTTGATGACACTCACCCATACAAACAAAGTGTCGTTAATTAGATACCAGAGGACAGTTCTGGCCAGTTCTGTACTACCAACTGCATTTCTCAAATGTTCCAGATCCACATCAGAGGGCGCTGGGGTGTCCTCAGATTCCAAGGCCCCAAACCCTGGGTCAGTGACAGTGGTGTAGGCACTGAAGATGCTCCCGGCCAGCAAAGCCACACTCAGGGCGGTGTAGGTCTGCAGGCTGGGCCAGGGAAACCTCTCCAGAAACAGCAGAGGCATCGCTAGGGTCCACCCTTCAAACTGTGAACGTTCACACTCTCCACCAGCCTGTTGGAACGGAAACAAAACGGCTAACGTTAGCCAAACTTTAAAGAGCTAAGCGCAAACATTACATAATCACGCCACCTGTCACAAGGCTGGGGTATTTTCACGTCTTTGTCTAGAATAACTATAAAAACAAGGAAATATTCAACACACCACACATTTAGTAAGAATAAGACATTAAAAATAAGAGAGAAGCAAAGGGAACACAGAAGCTAACGAAACTACGCAGAGCTAGCCACTTAGCAACCAAGCACAAACACATGCACAACAAATTAAGTTTAACCATTCACTTAACTCGACGATAAACCTAATAAAACTAAATTTGTGCGTTTATACTAACGGGTAACTGTTAAATAGCAACTCTGACAAATATATTAAATAACAGACGTTAACGCCCTGATCACAGTCTGTTTACCTGGCTAACGTTACCTAATACTAGCTTACTGTAATACCAGCTACGTAGCTTCGCAGTGTGAACAAACTTCAAAAACTATGTTAAATATTCACTTACAATATGTCTCCGGTTTATTTAAACGCGAAACCCAGAGTAATTTTTTTCCCAGTCGATCCTTGCTTTCAGATGACAGAGGCAGCAGACAGCATCGCCTTGTTTATTGAGCCGAGCAGAGGCAGCTGTAGGCTGAACGGAGGAGAGCAGGCAGGCAGCGTCATAAGGACTATCATTTTAAAGCCATGCTAATGGAAAATATCTGCCACAAACTGTAAATAATTGATTAAATATTGTTTCGATGTTCTTTTCATTTTTTATTTATACTTTTCTTTCTTTTTAATTTTTTCCTGAAAAATAATCTTTAGAAAATTTCCC